AAATGTGCTTCGAGGGCCTCCTGTGCGCCGATCGGGCGCTTCGCTTTTCAGTGTAAGAGGCCTGCAGTGCACAGATGGAAGGCGGCTCGATTTCAAAATCTAGCTCGTAGGCGCGAGAGGCACCCACGCCCCCTCCCTGCCGCCGTGGCTCAGCTAGCTTAGCTAACCCACTTAGCTGGCCTTACTAACCAGCTTTACTAATCCGCTTAGCGTACTTTGCCTTTGGTTAGCTAACATGTTGGCTACACGCTTGGCAACTTGGCTACAACCTTGACGCCGATTGGGGAGAACACGTAGCAAACGTCGGTAACCAATTAGCGTTTGAATCAACGTTTGGCGGCGGTTCGCAACTACTTCATTAACTGTGCGAAAGGCTTATTAGCTCTAGCGAGCGTATCGCATAGTTGTGCCAGGGTTGGCTGCAGTTGCTACTATGTTATGATGGATATACTACAATGTAAGCAGCCGCTTGCATCCTACATAAGATTTACCAAGCGCGCGGTCCATCCAAGCAGAGCGGCCTCCGGCACCGTTTCCGGACAGATCCGGACAGATCCGGTGGATCCGCGCCCCGGGGGAAGTGCCCAGAGGAGGAATGAGGAGGAGGAGGAGGAGGAGGAGGAGGAGGAGGAGGAGGAGGAGGAGAAGATGATGGAGCTGTGGGGTGGAGGAGGACAGACGGAGGCAAGAGAAGGATGGAGGAGGAGGAGGAGGAGGAGGAGGAGGAACCTCATCCTCACCCTCGCCAACAAGCGCACGCACCTTTTTCTATATACAGAAACTCCCGATCAACCGCAGAGCGGCCGGCTAGTAATATACACCGCCTCCCCCAGGCGGCCGGGGGCCAAACAGGCACCACGCCGACACCATGCCGACACCATGACGACCCGCCCCCCACCATCCCTGTCAAAAAATCCCACCAGCCCTCTGGGCGTCGGTGGTCTAGGGAGTTTCCTCTTCCAACCCCCTTCTTCCCCTTCGGGGAGGGGTTTACCCCTCCCCCCACCCCCTCCCCTGGACCTGGACGGAGGGTTCCGCGGGTCGTTGGGGCGTCCAAGATTGCCCAAGACGGCCCCAAGAGGGCCTCAGAGAGCCCAAGATAGCCTCCAAGATGGCTCAAGATAGCGAAAGATGCCTCAAGATGGATCCCAAGATGCTCCTAAAGACCGCACCAAGACGGCCCCAAGTGGCCAAAGAGCTCCCCACGGAGCTCCCCGAGAGGCCAAAATCATGCCAAAACTTAGGGAAAATCAATGTTTTGGGGCTTTCTTGTTTTTGCGCTTCCGATGGCCTTCACAGGCCTCAAGATGGCTCCAAGATTGCCCAAGAGGGCCCCAAGAGAGGCCCACGAGAGCCCCAAGACGGCCCCAAGAGCGCCCAAGAGCGCCCCAAGATCGCCTCACGAGGGGCCCAAGAAGCGATTCGAGGCACTCTAGAGGGGCAGGGCTAATATACGACCCCCCTTCTTTGATAGATCTCCTCCAACATGGCCCCAAGAGCGCCCCGAAGGCTCCCAAGAGCGCCCCAAGAGCGCCCCAAGAGGGCCCCAAGAGGCCCCAAGAGGCGCCCAAGAAGCCTCCAAGGGGCCCTCAAGAGACCCCCAAGAGGCCACAAGAGGCTCCCCGAGATTCGCAAGAGGCCCCCGGGACCGCCAAGAGGCCTCAAAGACGGCCCAAGAGGCCCCCAAGCTCGCCATTGTCCTCCTCATCCTCCTCTTTTTCTTTCTCCTCCCTCCTCCCCCTCCCCCTCCCCCTCCTCCTCCTCCTCCTCCTCCTCCTCCTCCTCCTCCTCCTTCTCCTCCTTCTCGTCCTCCACGTCCTCGCCCTCCTCCATCTCCTCCTCATCATCTTCCTCCTCCTCCTCCTCCTCCTCCTCCTCTTCCTCCTCCTCCTCCTCCTCCTCCTCCTCCCCCTCCTCCTCCTGCTCCTCCTGATGCTCCTCCTCTTCCTCCTCCTACTCCGACGACGACGACGACTCCTCCTACATCCCCCCCCCTCTTGGGGCATATGGCGGCTTACCCCGCCCTTTGTTCTTCTGCATGCTCCCCCGCTTCCCTCATCACCTCCATTCCCCTGGGACTCATTTCTGGACGGGCTGGTGGGGATACTTCTGTTGTTTTGGTCGCGGGCGGATGCGTGAAGCAGTCGCCGAGAGGGGGTCTCGGGCACGGGCCAGCCTAATTAGCTACTGAGCGACGCGCAAGCCGGCCAGGCCAGCACTCAGAAGCGGCGGCTGAGGTGCAGCTGCTGCTGGTGGAACTGGCTGGCTGGTCTGCAACGCCCAGGGAAGGCTGGTGGGGATACATTTTTGATCTGCGGCTCCAAGGACGATTCCAGAGAGCGGGTCGAACCTGGTGGGGATACGCGAAGCGTCTAGAATTATCCCGGCGAAGGACCCAGCCATACCCAGTGTGAGAACCGCCAGGCAGGTGGGACGAAACAAGGGGAATTCCCAATGGGGCCACGAGCCGTGTGAGGGGTGCGCCAAAATGAAGCGGGGTCGCCATGCGAACCCTGCCACTGGGGCCTTCGGTGGACCTCCCTGTGGGGCCACGAACCGCGTGAGGGGTGCGCCAAAATGAGGCGGGGCCACCATGCGAACCCTGCCACTGGGGCCTTCGGTGGAGCTCCCTACGGGGCCACGAACCGCGTGAGAGGTGCGCCAAAATGGAGCGGGGCCGCCATGCGAACCCTGCCACTGGTGCCTTCGGTGAAGCTCCCTACGGGGGCACGAACCGTGTGAGATGTGCGCCAAAATGGGGCGGGGCCGCCATGCGAACCCTGCCACCGGGGCCTTGGGTGGAGCTCCCTATGGGGCCACGAGGCGTGTGAAGGGTGCGCCAAAATGGGGCGGGGCCGCCATGCGAACACTGCCACTGGGACCTTCGGTTGAGCTCCCTAAGGGGCCACGAACCGTGTGAGGGATACGCCAAAATGAAGCGGGGCCGCCATGCGAACCCTGCCACTAGGGCCTTCGGTGGAACTCCCTATGGGGCCACGAACCGTGTGAGGGGTGCGCCAAAACGGCGTGGGGCCGCCCTGCCACTGGGGCCTTCGGTGGAGCCCCCTATGGGGCCACGAGCCGTGTGAGGGATGCGCCAAAATGAAGCGGGGCCGCCATGCGAACCCTGCCACTGGGGCCGTCGGTGGAGCTCCCTATGGGGCCACGAACCGCGTGAGCGATACGCCAAAAGGCGGGGCCGCCATGCGAACCCTGCCACTGGGGCCTTCGGTGGAGCTCCCTATGGGGGCACCAACCGTGTGAGGAGTGCGCCAAAATCGGGCGGGGCCGCCATGCGAACCCTGCCACCGGGGCCTTTGGTGGAGCTCCCTATGGGGCCACGAACCGCGTGAGGGGTGCGCCAACTCGCAAGGCCGCCATGCGAACCCTGCCACTGGGGCCTTCGGTGGAGCTCCCTAACGCTGTACTGGGTGGGAAAAACGCAATGAGGAAGGAGAAGGGGGAGGAGGGAGGAGGGGGAGGAGGAGGGAGGAAGGAGGGAGGAGGGACGCGGAGACCGTCTCTGCAAAACGAAGACCCAACACCACAAGATGGTTGGGAACAATACAAACCGCACTCTGCCTCCACATTTGGAGCATGCGCGGCCAACCCGATGCAGCCCCCCCACCATCCCTGCCAAAACAACATGCAAAATATACTTAGGGGCACAATCTTGAGTCATGTCCGTGAGGCCCGCGAGCACTTTGAATTGTTTTTGGCAAGGACGGTGGGGGTGTCAGCAGATTCCCTGCTGTGCGCAGGGCTACCATCCCTGACGCAAAAAAACTATATAACATGCATCTCGCGGCTAAATCTGGATCATGCGCGGCCATCCCGCGATCACTGCCAAGTGGTTTTTGACAGGGGCGGCGGGGGTGGTGGCGCGTGGCCTGCTGTGCGCAGGCCCACCAGACACAATGATGGGCACTGGTGTTCGACAAGGATGGCGGGGGCCGACATGTTTCCCGATGTGTGCTGTCACGTGCGCAGGCGCACCTGACGCACTCTGCACGTGGGCGCACCTGGCGCGGCTGGAGTGTGCGGCACACCTAACGCATGCGGAGGCACGTGGCGCATCTGGCGCACCAGGCGTGCCTGGCACGCTCGGGCCCCAGGGGTGCCTGGCGCGCGGGGCGCCCCTGGCACGCGTGGCGCACCTCGCCCAAGCGTCGCGCACTTGGGGTCGGCTTTGGTTCCCAGTAGCTGTCTATCCAACGACGACCGCTGAACATGCTCAGGCTCGGGTGTTACTTACGTGTAGGGAGGGCGGGTTGGAAGTGAGCTAGACGGTTTGCGGGCGGGTGGGTAGCTTGACCCCTCCCCCTACCAGTTCCCCTTGACCTGGACGGGGGGGCCGCGACGCGTTGGAGCGTCCAAAAAGGCGAGGAAGCCGAAATCAATGGTTTTACTAAGGTTGTGGCCCCTCCGCATCATGACACACAATGGCAGACTTCCTCATCGCGCGACAGCAGCAGATGTGGCCTGGGACCGTTGCAACTTCGCGCCTGATCACCTACCCAGGATGAGACTGTCTGGAGTCCACATCCGATACCCAAGGAGTCTGCAGTAATTGATTTGTACCGGCTGGTTTCCACCACGGTGTTGCTGCGCACCTGTGCTTCGGCAGAGCAGAAACCACAGAGGCGAGAGGTTGAACCTGGCGGCGCTAGCACTCGAGACCCATTCGATCGATCTACTACCGAGAAGAACAAGAAAAAGTATAACATATGTATGTAAGCATGCGAATAAAACAAGAAAATAAAACATAAAGTGATGAAGAAGAAGAACAAGACAAATACGTTAGAGGGGGAAGCGCAAGTCTGTCCTTGATGTGCTCTCACTCACCACATCCACTGCCTCGCAATATTGCTCGTATGCGTGCACGCATATATACATCCACGCATACAAAACCATGTGAGTATTGCTTGGGCGCGTATACGTACGTGCGCCTCTGGCGCCACGCATACTCTGATATGGACAGCAGCAGGAGCCCGTCGGACCTTCCAGCCGCTGAAATTGCCAGAGGGGTCGGTGTGGTAAAGCTGAAAGCCATGCGCGCTGTCGTAGCCGGCCACCTCCGTCCACACCATAGTAGGATACGTAAGCAGACGCAGCCCTTTTCTGCCGCATGGTAAGCAGGCAGCAGCAAATGACGGGGGACGAACAGAAACGGGCTCGGGCATGAAAGAGTCGAAGGCTCCGTCCTAGCACGCAATCAGGTAGCTCATCAATACGATGCATGGCACATGTAAACCAACCTCCGACAACCCCCTCCCCTGGGCTGTGAACGCTCAGAGGTAGGCAGCATAATATCAACAGCAGCTACGCCTGATATCAATTGGGAAATCCTGCTAGGTACCTTGCAAACAAAGTAGCGCGATGGAGATGCC